ATATTTAGAACCAAAGCCAAGTACAATATTGGCAGAAGTGAATGAAAGCAAACAAAAAGCACATCAGTGTAGAGGTTTCATTAAGGGCTGGGCACCAGGCAAATTGACAAGTTGTGAGGACAATTTTGCCAACCTGGTTTGACCATCTGGAGGAAAGTTTTTCTTCATTAGAGGTTTGGTTGATTTAGTCTTGCCTGCCTGTGAAAACCAGTTGCCCTTCTGCTGAAAACGTTAATGAAACCCCTGCAGCAGTGAGCACATGAATAAAGAATCACTAAAAAAAACTAATAAAAGGTATTAAGAATGTTCTTGACTTACACCGTCATTCCATTTTAGCTCTTTACAGTCTTTATATACTTCATTGTTACTGTAAACCCCTGAAATACAATAACAACATATAGTGAGACCATCAAATTCCATGAAAGAAGAAATCTACTTTTCAAGAAGACAGGTGGATGAGAATAAAGATTGAACAACGACTTTGAAGCTCTTCTTGCAGTCACTATTGCATTGTCCCTCAGTGACCAAACACATCAACTGGTCCACACTCAGACACATTTTTCATAATTCTTTTCCCTCTTATAACTTGCTAACAATCTTCATGCAGTTGATATTAATATAACTTACCAAAATTATCATTAGGGCATGCATAGTCAGGAGAATACACTGCAAGAATAACAGATTAAAGTACTACTATTAATAATCTTATATCCTACAAGTAACACCACTCTCAGGACAAGTGCAAAATAAGAAATACTAATCAATGTCAGAATTGGGCTTTTAAACAACTACATTTGTCATACAACTCCAGAGCAAGGCAAATGCACTTTGATAGCACAAATTTCAAATATTGTGCATGCATTCTTCCCCACCAGAAATTCTCTTATTAGTTGCAAAATTTATAAAATATAAATGAAATGGAGAAAGGCTCTGTGACAGTCAAGTGTCTGGTACTAGAACACAAGACAAGAACACTGACCAGGGCAGGCCAACACAAAGCCTATTTAGCATTAAATACCTTCAGGAGTGTATCGGTGTTTTCCTGACGGAACAGCTATGACCAGAGCTCCACTAATCTTTTTATTTTCTATCAGTGGATTGAGCATCTTACTACAAAAAGAAGAACATCAAGGCATGGTCAGTTAAAATGCACAAGAAAATGCATCAGAATAGCATAACTGTCCATGCACATGTGTACAGGATGTGCGAACACATTTAAATGATTTGTACTGTGTAATTACTCAAATGAAAGGTATAAACAGACCACCTGTACACATAACGACTACATACAGTCAAACCTCCACCAACAGCCACCTCTCTACAATGGCCACTTTTTCTGTCCCGGTGGACAGTCGATACATTCACTCTTATTTTAGCCTCTCTACATATGGCCACCTCTCCACAATGGCAATAGCCACTACAGTGCATCCCAACTGCCATAATAACCTCATGACAACAGCCACTTAATCAACGTCTGACAAACGATGTATATCAAAACCAATATTTTGTATGGTGAAAGGTCACAAAACTTGATCATTCTGTACCATGCATCATTGGTCTGCTATTTCTGTTTAGTTTCAGTTTCATTGATATACTCTGATTGTGTTTCATATTTATATGCTACAATAAGCATTTTTTTTAAAAACTAGAAATGTTGCAACCCCGAAAACAAACAAGAGTTATATTACACCCCTACCTTCCTATAATAGCCACCTCTTTACAACGGCCACTTTCCTCTGTCCCCACAGTGGCGGTTGTAGAGAGGGTCAATTGTATAAACTTACCAATTAGCACTGAAATTGAACCTGCTAATAACCAATCAATTTTGAGAACTTTGCGATAGAACTAATTGACACCAGGGTTGTAACTTTGTTTTGCACATAAAACACTAGCAGTGTTCTCCTTTTCAGGTGGTAACCAGTAAAATTTACTGCCTGTAGCACCACTCATTACCGCCTAAAACCCCTTGGAATTCTTGAAAATTCAACAGGTAAAAGAAAAAAATATAGTTGTTTCACTGGCGTAATTGGTATTTTATCCTTGTAAAAGAATAAATAAACAGATTAAAAGATAAACTGCGCAGGCTATGGTTTGTAAGTATTATCTGTGGCTTTTGAACTTCGAGGCAAGATCCACGAATTTTTGGCGAGCTTTCTGCCACAATTCCATGGTGGCAGATGTCATTTCTTCCCACGTGCATCGGATTTGTTTACGTTGAGTTTCACAATGAAGCAACAACGAATGTTGTTCTCATTTCTCTCCATCAACAATGGCAAGAAGTCACAAATGGAAACAGTTACAGGTAAAATAATTTTAGATGTTACCAGTATTTGATTTGCAAGCAATGTGGGGAAATCAGTTCCATGAACTTCCCACCTAACTACCAGCTTTAGAAAACTGGTGTTGCTAAATTGACCAACATTCACCTGTGGTGACCGAAAACTTCATCTTCGTCACGTAATGCTGCACATTCAGGTCAAAAGTCTTTAAAAGCTATTTCCAGATGATGTTTTGAGAGAATCCTCGACAATAAAACCCTTCCAGAACGTGGATTTTGTTTTGTTTGAGAGACAACCGCTGATTCTGTAGTGACACTTCATGTGAGCACAGCAAGGATACCCCGGAAGTGGCTTTTGCCTACTTTTCTGTGACTTTAGGGCAAGAGAATTAAGAAAAGGAATAAAACACTTAAAAATGAAAATGCTGTTTGATTTCATTTGACATCTAAAGCCAAAGGTGTAAAATTAGTAAACTGTAATGCATATCAGATGAAGGTCTTTTCAAAGAAAATGTTTTTATTAGTTCCTTTCCTTTTCTGAAATGTTCCTTCTGGTGAACAATTCAATAAGGGGACAGGATAGAAAGCAGAGCAAGTTGTTGGTGATTCATGTATTGAGAGGTTGACCAAGCATCTGAAAAAAAAAGGCTAAGAAAAAACCAGATTTGCTTTCTATGTTAGCCCTTAAGAGCTGCTGCTGAAACAAGCTGACAGGAACAACAAGAAACCCACAAGGAACGTTCTGACAACCATTAATCTTTTGTATATTGTATTTAATACTCACACAAACTACCTAGCAATGAGGGTAAAACTTGTATCTGTAAAGGTTTAATTTAAGGTCGGCGCTGAAGTTGACAAGAATGGGGCAAATTTCAATTCCATGTTATGTACAGAGCAGACCTAAGAAACAAGGCTGTGATTCAACCGATTGCTTTACCGGTTTAAAATGCTCTTTTACCTGTTGTACTGAAAACAAGGGAGAACCCTGACTAGCCTGCCAGAATAAGACGTGGACACAAGCCTGGAAAAATCCTAATTAACTAATACTTACAGATCAAACTGGTCCGATCTGAAAAGAGCAATGTATGGGTGATGTTTCCCTTCCTGAATTATCCATTCAACATCACTTATATTTTCAATGAAGTGAAGTACTCCAACATGGCCATTCATACTAGCTGTGGAAATAAAAACAAACACAATCATAAGGACAGGCTTACTTGTGAGAATTAACAGAAATCTCTCTTCACAACTCAATTCTTCCCCTGCTTGAGAGACGAGAATGCAAGGGCCATGGGAGGGGAGAGGGAGGGGCAGGTGCAGAAGGGGTCTACAGAAGGTGAGGGATGTGGATGTAGGTAGTGGGATAAATTTCAAAAGTGACAGAAACCAGATGAAATTTCAAAGAAAATTACAAATTAATATTTAAGAAAGCATGCATCGC